GCCTCCCCGACAACATCTACGGTGCCCCCCCCCCGCAATAACTTATTCCAATCTTGTTCACTCACCCTTGCGAGCGGGCTGAGCGCAATCTCGAGCGTGGCCATGTCCTGCGCCACCCTGGCCTTTCCCCCCTCGGACAGCGGCCGTATCAGAGCGCAGTGGGTCACGTACGCGCGGAGGACCCTCGCCGCCAACGATCTCAGGGCCGCCTTCGGAAAAAAAACAAACGAAAAAACGATACAGGGAGAGAGAGGGACAGACAGAGACAGACAAAGAGACACAGACACAGAGCGACTCAGCCACAGAGACACAAGACACAGAGAGAGATAGTGAGAGAACAAGCGCGTAATCGTTTCTTCCTCTCTGGTACCGCTGTTTGACAAGCTATCCACATCATTGTCGTTGTCGCTGCCGTCATCCAAGTTCGTTGTCATTGTCACAAAACTGATCTTGTAGCGGGGGCCACAGCAGTGGCCTCTCAACACAGAAACAAACCACATACCACCGACGTCGAAAGAGAAGATGATGCAAGCAGGACTAAAACAAATCCGTTACGGGAAGACACACCTCACCTGCTCTCGAACCTCAAACGCAAAACATCGCGCGACGCCTGGGACGCGGGCGTCTACGCCAAGTCAAGACCACCCAAGGCCCGCCGCCGCAGCGAGAGAAAGTCCCTCCGGTCGAAAAATCCTTGCACAGCGCCGCTCCCCTCCTCTTTCGAACACCACACAATACAACTCAACACGTATCATACCACGACGCGATACACACACGACCGTGATTTGAACTTTGGTCCCCGTTCCGGGAACCAAGCTTGATTTACCCGCTGGCACCCGTCACGAATTGTCATTCGTCAGTCGGTTAGCGCTGTCGCTGCCAACAACAAAAAAGGCAAACACGTTTCTCTTTCAATGTTTCTGTCTTTAATGCGGAGAGTTAGGCTAGCTTTTCCCGCTACCTTCCCTCACGGGGTCCCAGATCGTGGCCCATAGAAGCGCTCTTGTGTTTTTCACCGCACTGGGACTGACGTCTTTTCATTTCTCAGCCGGTTAGAGCGGTCAATGCTAGCGAAAACAAATACACACACACACGGCCGTTAGCGGCGTTTCCTGTTATTATCCACTCTGAAACTGATGCCCTTTTCTGTGGTCGGCCGGTTGGCGCAGCCGATGCCAATGACAACGACAACAACAACAACAACAACCACCAGCTTCAACACACACACACCTCTGCGCTGGGTGTCCGGAGCGCCGCGATGCGAGTGAAGTGGTCAGCCTGCAGGGCGGCAAGCGCGCGTTGCAGCTCATGCAGGAAAAGAGACCCGCCGCCGCCACCATGGTGCTCTGAGGCTGCCATGGCCGACACTCCCGGCCCGAAATTCTCCCTGCCAACCAACCCCCCAGCGGCCAAGCGCAAGCAAAGGATAAGACAGGGTATGCATCCATACAGCAAAACACACACACATACACGGACGTGTTTATTAATCCCGCTACAAGACTGGCGTGGTTTCAGTTGTCAGCATGGTCGATGCCATTGGAGGAGACACACACAAACACACACGCGCGGTTGTCCTACAAGGACAAGCAGCTCGTCTCCCGTAGGCCTGCTGCTACGAAGGTTTACGTCGGTGTCATAAAAGTTGATTTGATGTCCCGGGAGTTGCAACACGATCATCGCCGCATGGTACGCCATCGGTGTCCCACTGCTTGGACGACAAGCCTGGCGGCCACACAGCTTGCTCACAAGTGTGGGCAACGCGTCGACTCGTCCGGTGGCCCTGCTTGTCCCACAGAGCTCGCTACCGCTAAAGAAACTGGTTTAGGGTTCGATGTTCACGAACAAAACGTGCTGTAAGAACTCGACCCTACAACCAGCGGTTGCCATCATTAAAAATAATATTCAAGCAGCTTGATCAACTGAAAAATATTATTTTTTTGGACATACTGTCAATGACCCCTGTTGGTTCCCTCGCTAAAAATATAAGAGGGTCGCGTAACGTTAGAGTCTCGTAGAGTGGTGGGATATGCTGTACACGCGAACGAAGGAATGCACGTCCGGTCGCAACTCACCCCCAACGTTTGCGTCTAATTTGGCAGCGCGTTCAACCCCCCCCGCCCCCTGTAAAGAAGCCGACGATAAAATGCCAGCAGCAACACGCCTCCCGAGCAAAGAGGCACCGCAGATACTATACCCCCGATAAAGGGTCATAGCTGCAAGCCTCCCCTCCCGCCGGCGCCGTCACCCCGCTGAACACAGCAGTATAAGCGCTAGGGAGAGACTTGGATACCGTAGGTGACCCATGATACGACGCCCATTGACAGCTCCATTGCTCCACGACGGGCGAAGAAGATGGCGTGCAAGCCAAGCAAGACATTTTCGGAAGCTCTACACGAGACGGGTCACTCTTCGCAATGTTTTCGGCGGCGCCGCTGCCACTCTTTTCCTGCCGCGGAGAAATCGAGAAAAAATCAGCCACTGGGTGTGTGCGATATCTTGCGTCAACCTACCTGTGCATCTTGGACACGATTTCCTCCAGTGCGCGAGCCACCCCGCTCAGGTACGGCTCCAGGAACACCCTCGATGCCAGGTCGTCCAGCGCCTGAACCGCCTCGGCCACCCGCTCCCGGCACTCGACCCCGTACGCCGCCGCCGCCGGGGTCGGCGGCGACGGCAGCACCAGGGCCGGGATGCCCAGGAGGGCTTCGCGAAGCTTCACCACCAGCTCCAGCAGCTGGAGGTTATGCTCCTGCTCGAGGGTAGGGGCCCAGGCTTCCAATGGCGCCGCAGCGGCGGCGGCGGCAGAACTGGGCATGTCGTTCCCCATCATGTCGTCGTCACCGGTGCTGCCGCCGGCACGGCCGCCGAGGGCGGCGTTGCTCCCGCCGCCGAATGTATAGGCGCCCTGTTGAAGGGGGGGGAAATGAGGCGGTCGTCATACAGTAGGCGCAAGGGGGCGTACGTACGTCGCATGCTCAACGTCGATACCGCGAGCAGCAGAACGGCGACTATCAGCATACGACGACGATGGCAGCGGCAGCGGCGGCGGCGGCGACGGTGATAGACGGCATTGTTCAACCATGACAGCCTTTGAAGACCCTTCGGATAAAAAAATGCTTCCCTCGCCAGCAGCACGCCACGAATCCATAAAAAAAGAAGCACAACGTCCATCTATCATGCGCACGTATGTACAGCATACGACCTCTTGTCGCCATGGTGGTCCCATGGGCCCCTCCTGCCCAATCCCCGAGGGAATCGCGTGTCGCAATAGTTGCCCCGCCGTTTGAGACCAACGTCTTCTCGACGTTTGTAGCACGATCGATGCCAACCGGACAAACACAAACCACACAGCCCAACACACACGCAGGGATACACCGGCACCCCAGGGTTACCGGCGGACAACAAAACGCGCCTACATACCTTTTCCACGCTCTGCATGGCCTCCACCTTGGTGCAGAACAGCCTGGCCGCCTGCACGACCCCCTTCAGGAGGATCGGCAGCAGGCTGAAGTCCGCCTCCAAGCTCCCCCCGCCCCCGCCCATGCCGCCGCTGCCCGCCGCTGCTGTAGCCTCCGAAGACCCCGTCGCCGCCGCCGAACCGACGCTCCCGGCGGGGACGGCGAGGGAGAGCTCGGCGTGGATGGAGCGAACGAAGGAAGCGAGGTCGTGCTTGGAGGGCACCGCGGCCATGTAGCCGTCGAACTATATGGGGGGGGGGGGGGGA